CTTGCCCGTTTCTTGCACTTGCAAGCACTCGCAGTGTATCATGAAGGAACGATAGTGCATACACGAGTATGCAATAAGTATTTTTGAGGAGATTGTCCGTTTTCAATACTCGTTTTTCCGCTGATGAATGACAAACGTATACGCGAGTATGATCATGAGTATTTTTGAGTGAATCGTCCGTTTTCAATACTCATTTTTCCGCTATGTGTATTTTTGAGTGGATTGTCCGTTTTCAGCTGATGAGTGAGAACACGTTAATACGACGTTTCTCTTTTACTCGTACATTTACCTATCATTTATTAATTACTAGACTGCGGAACTTTATGCAAAATACTTAACTGAATGTTTTGCATAAAATGCATATTTTGCAATTTTGTAAATTTACAGATGGCAATCTCAATCTTTTTACTTCACCTTTTAATAACTCTTTAACGAACAACGATAAAACTGTCCGATAGTTAATATTCAGTTAAGTATTTTGCATAAAGTTCCGCAGTCTATTAATTACCATATTTGTACAATTTCAAATAAATTAAAATAAAATTTATATAATAATTCATTATTTATTATTGTACGAGTACTAAATGAGTATTTTGCACTCGTATAAGTTTTTTCACTCAAATTTACGTTTTTACTACTCAGATATACTCGTGTCCTGCATGAGTGCAATCCGTTTTAACCACTCATTTTTACGGAAAAGTTTGCGACTTGTTTGCGACCTAAAAACGGAGTCATACTCACTGAGTAAAATGCACCAGTCAAATTAATCGTTCGCGCGGGCTAAAAATGGGCTAAAAATGGTGAAAAATTTTTATAAGGGTTTATAGATATATTCATTGTAACATGCAAAAATATAATAGAAGGCTAGATAAAGATAAGGTAACGATAGTATTTGTTGATAATTGTAATACTCCGTCGTAACCTAAAATGTTTAATATAAAAGTGTTAACTGTAGAAAAAAAATTATGCAAAGATTTCTTTGCACAGTCAGTTATTTAATTTGTAAAAATACGCGACATTTTTATTTCATTTTTGTATTACGTTGCGGATACTAATGCGTAATAAGTTACGTACGTCCTAATTAAATCTGCAATATTCCAAGCATTTCTTATCTGCATTGTAAAGTCATTATTATGACTTACAATCCCTTTCTTTTAATCATACAATTTTTTTTCCGGTTCTCATTTTATGTAACACTTTGTAAAAAATAAAAAGTCTAATCGATACAGAAATTACATCGACATTACGTCTTATTCTTCACCGATTTTCTCCGCTATTTGCTCCAAATGTAATTCCGAGGTATCTCATATATGTCAATCTTTAAAACTTCCGTGTTACATGATACAAGTTACATCGTCATCGGAAATGCGTTCGTATTATATCTCTTACTATATGTGTAGTTCGATAAAATGAAAAATGAACTTACAAATGAGCTATACTGCAGTTCCATAGAAATCATAACCGTTATAAATGAGGCGAAATGAAAGAGAACGATAATCAATTCATGGACTTTCATGAAAATTGTAACGATTGATTCCTGCTTGTAATTAGAATAAAGAGTGAATAATAATTATATAATAATTCCCTAATTGATAGGTAATTAATTATAAGTGTGCACACACACACACACAGTGTATGTAGCAATAATACTATTAAATATGTACTATCCAAGACAATCATTTTCTTTCATCATAAAGGAAAAATAATTACTTCATCTGTCCTTTTTTGCTGTCATTCTGACTTACTGACAAGTAACGGACGGAAATGTCGAGAGGGAAAAATCAATTCGTCAACAAACACTTGCAATCTTTAAAATAACGGAAAATTACTATGTTGTAAAACGTGATTTAGTAAATACATAATTAAAGAGCCAAGGTAGGTAGAGATGACAATGTAACATATATAAATTTGATAAAAAATAAAAATATTAAAGTCATTTAAACTATAAAAATATTCTAAACAGCGTCGAACAATGGCTCGAAAATGGAAAATCGAATTCGGATTATATTGGAAGAATGGTTATACATTTCTAGCACTTCCGCAATATAACAAAGAAAAATTTAATTATATATAGTACTAATTTGCACCTAAGTCTTTTGTAACCAGTGAAAACTTGAACGCACGCAATACTTGGAACGCATCACTTTCGATTTTATTTTGCGGAAACTTTAAATTTCGAACTTTGAGGTTTGCTATAAAATACGATAATACAAGTGGTACTTTAGGTAATACCGTTAGACGCGTTATTACAAGATATGCTACATGTTGTCCAATTAATTATCACTTTAAAGGATATAATTAGAATGTACTTTTAAATGAAATAAAATTTGTGTAGATTTTACGATAGCTGGATTTCAATTTTGGAGAAAATAACTTCTAAAATACTGTACAAAATTAACAAATGAAATGGGTCATCTCATAATTACTTAAGAATAATTAAGTTCTCTTACTTAAAAATAAATATTTTAATATTTTGACTCCTTCTATATGTACATAGTTTTGTGATTTATCGGATTAAAGAGAAAGTATAGCTATAATATTGTAGATTCGAACATACATTTATATATATAAAAGACACACGTTGCATTTATAAACCGATTTACTATTCCATTACGACAATGACATGTGAAAGATTTATTACAAGACGGAAGATTTCACTTTTTTAATATATTTGCTTATATTTCATTTTCTAATACTGAAGGTTATATATTACTTTACACTCGATATGTGTTGATGTGTGATATAATAAAACTTACGTTTATCAATAGTAAATTTTTTTGACGATACAACCATCAGCATTTTTATTCTCAATTAAATGTTTATCTTAATTAATAAACGATTCTATTATTGTTACTTTCTTTACTCTGTTTGAGTTTAATAAAAAATAAAATAAAACTAATTCGATAGATAAAGAAACGAAAAATCTGTTGTTCTTTTAATAAATTCTATCTCATATAAAAATTTCCAAATATATATATATATCAATTTATCCAATATATCAGAACAAAATAAACAATAACAATGGAAAGAGATATCCTTCTTATTAAACGAAGTGTATCAAAAGTGTATATACATTTTTGTAACTCAAATTTACGTATTTCCGTATTTACGTATATAGACGCAATTTTCAGATACAATACTCATTGATTTCTATCAGTTTAAAAAAGCCGATAAACAATAGTAGATAAAAATAAATTCGGTCAATAATTGACTTATTACGACTTTACGTAATTGTAGATATAAAAATTTCACGTTTACTAAACAGAGCAGGATGATAAACGCAATGATCAAATACTGTGTCTATTATTGATTTTTATCCAGCATTTTGAAAGCTGATAGGCAGTGGTAGATAAGATTAAACTAAAGCAATAATTGACTTTTTACGACTTTACGTAATTGTAGATATAAAAATTTCACATTTGTTAAACAAAGCAGAGAGAGAGAATGATAAATGCAATAGTCAAATACAATATCTATCATTGATTTCTATCTATATTGTTTTGAAAAAAGCTGATAGGGTAATAAATAGAATCAAATTAGGCCAATAATTTATTTTTTATGACTGCGTAATTGTATATACAGATTATATTAATTGTATATATGTATAAATATATAATTCTAATTATCCGCCTATTAGATGTTAATGATATCTCCTTGATAGGAAGTAAGTAATTTAGCAAATAAACGATAGGAATAACAAAAAGTGTATGCAAAATTTTTGATCAAATGAATGGTTCAAGGCGATCTCTGATGTAATTATAGATAGATATTTACAAAGAATAAGTCAACTAGTAATAAGAAATGGAATCCTAAGTATAAATTTGCAGTATAAACGTAATTGCTTTTTTCTCACGCAAAGGGTTACCTGCCTATTAAGATACGTGCAGTAACGTGCGCAATATTCTCTACTTCCTCTATTATTATAATATACCTTGTTATAACAAGATATAATACAAACATAAGAAAAACTTGCTCACTTCAACTCTGAATTATAAAAGAATAACACGTGGCGTCGCGTCATCATGATTTTCCATGACCTCTAAGAGGGAAGTGCTTTTATATGTACTTTTATTATCTACGGCGCGTTGTAATTATCGTAATATTGTTATGTACTAATCAACGAGGACTTACATTTAATAGCCTGGTTATCAGAAAAAAAAATAAAGTTTCACTGCAATGTTTGCTGCTTTGCAATGCAAGTAAAAGTGATTATTAGCAACGGATGGATGAACGCGATAAATAATAATTAAATGCCATTAATTTTTGTAATTATCTGCGACAACCATGTAGTTGTAAGCTAAATAATACATAAATACGTTATATGCAAAAATGTGCTTTAAATAAATGTTTTAAGACACTTAGGTCGAATCATATTTCATAATTATCCGTTCGGTTACTCAAGATAATTATTCGCGCTTCAATCTTATGCCTTATGATATATTAAGTATCTGCTTATATCTCTGACATATATATATCAATTTCTCATACTTTAAAAAACTAATTATCGATTTTATCGATATTATTACAGAGCTTCCTGCAGAGAAAAAAGAAAAGATTTAAATTGTTATAAATGAGAAATCAGATAAGGGGTAAACCTTGCTGTTTAGTTATTTACGTACAATATTTTAACAGAGATTTTCTTTTGAGATAGATACTATGCGGCTTGAAAAAAATACTTAATCAAAATGTTGAATACTATTCTTATCCAGAAAAAAATCTTCTTAAATGCAAAACTTTATTCGGTTACACAGCAAAAGGTAAACTACATTGTTACATTCGAAAGCTCGCCATACACGGATGCATCTCTTGATGGTTATCCTTGATTTATTCACGTTTCGGCGATTGGAATGAAATTTATCAATGTGGTCGATCCCTTCTTCAGGATCTCCCATGCAGACCTGACAGAAGGAGAGAATGAGAGGCAGACATGGACATAAGTGTAGCGTGGAGGTGGTGCCAGGCCCCTCCTTCTAATAAAAGCCGCTCACTAAGCGTCGCTATACAGACAGTAACAGAAAACCCCGAAGAGAGCAGGAGCCGCCGAGAGCTCCTTCAGGGCCCCACACGAGATCTTTTTTTTTTATTTAAAAAAAAATTCGATTTTCACAGCGAACCGTGTGACGGATAATATCTGTGCGTGGTGAGTTTACACAAATCTCGCGTTTCTAACTCGATCAGCATCTTTTCCGGGTAGCTGTGTACTCATCTTCAGTGTCGTGGAAAATTTATCATACGCGACGACCACGTGGCTAGGTGATGATAAGTGGGAAACTTTTGAGTTTCGTGTGTTCTTGAAGACGAGTGCAGACAGGCAAAGCTCGTGAGATATTCTTATCGCTTAACAAAATTAACAAAATTAGATATATTTGAATAAAAATTTAATTATAGATGAAGTGAAAAAATTGCAAATTTGTTTATACGTAAGAAATTAGTATGGAATATTATGGCATAATACAATATTATTTTATATTTTATGAAAGTGCTCTTGAATCTCGATTTTCCGGAGAAATCTCTTTCCATCTGGACGCACAATTTCCTCCGTAATTACTTATCTGATGAAAACTCTGGAATTCTTTTCCGTACAATTAATAGTTTATAGGAATAAAATTAAAAATAATATTATTTACGAGATTACTGATGTAAAAAATAACTTAAAAAATAAAGAGAGTAAAAAGGCACGAAAAGAAGTTAACAGAGTGAAAATCTTGAAATGGACCGGAACAGTAAGTTCCAAGTGAAAATTGAAATTTACAATCACACACAGCATGAATTAAATTCACCCATACCTGAAAAATATCAATTTTTTTCTTCATACAAGAAGTCCCTCGAAAAAATTCTCTTTATAACTACTTCGATTGCAAACTTACTTGTTCTCACTTTCATTGCTAACAAAAAATAGAAAACAAAGTTTCTTTATCATCAATTTTATTATTATAATATTGATTTAATGTTTCTTTTTACTAGTTGAGTAATTGTCTTCTCGAACTTAACTTTACGTAAAAAAACTTCAGAGTATATTTATTTCTAAGAAAATGGAAAAGGATTTTTAATTTATGCATTATCGTATCTCTCTCATAATCGCAATGTAAATTGTTTGCGATTTAGTAATAGAGATGTCAATTAAAATTAATTATTATGTGGCCTCGAAAATAGAATATTGCAACACCGTCCCCGAGTAGACGTGATGTGTGCTGAATCTATATCGTCTTAATATCATTATATCGTCATGATCCATCCTTAGCGTGCCAAATGCACGTGTAGTTATTTGCACTTACGTTGGCATACATTAACAAAAAAAGCTTCAAAGTTACGCGTGCATTAACAACAATGAAGAAAAATCTAGTAATAGTTACCAAATTTTGTTTAGCGTATTGATGCAATATTTAGTAAATATTACCAAACACAATAATAATCAACAATTTGTTAATAATTAGAAAAATAAGATAATAATTAGAAAAAGAAAATTAACGTTTAATTGATATTAGTTATATTAATCGAACGTTTGATTGCCATTATTTCACCAAAGCTTTAATAACTACTATATAAACTTGATTTATTACTATTATCAGACCTTTTTCCAGAGAACATTTCTCAGTAAAAACAAATATTTCCATAATTTTCCATTTAAAATAAAATTAACTGGGAAAATTATTTCTTTTCGATTGAATAATCTAAGAATAATTAAACACGTTTGTTGAGTTTTCTTTTTTGGTTTGTTGAAGGCTCTCACATACTTGTAACCGGTTTTCATGAACTGCGATCAGTGTTTCAAAGTTTTACGTCACGAAACGCAATTTTTTGTTTGGTTGCAAGAAGCAAGCAAATTTCCACTGAGCTCGAAAAAGAAAACGTAAATTAATAAATAATCCTAATGCGGACATAAAATGCATCAAGCACCAGTGTGTTTTATTAGAATCGAGACTAATTAAAGAGCTCGTGCACGCTTTATCTCGCCTTTCCTCCCACCACCTTTGAAGACGCCAGCACAGCGTTCTCCACTTTCATTCCGTCGAAAGTGATAGTCGCGAACGGATCCATGTTCGAGAAAGGAGAGTCATTGCGTCTCTCCCCTTCGCTCTTTTCTCCGTGCGCCTTCATGTTTCCTTCGTCTTGTCATGATCCTTGTGAACGATTTCCGCTTTACCTTGCAACTTGTTTGCGTGTCTGTATGGAGAGGAGGGAGGGGAGGAGGAATAAAGAGAGAAAGAACAAGAGATGTACTGAATACATGTTAGAAAATCATGAGAGAAGTAGAATTATGACCCGTGAAAAATCTTTCACTTTCGTCATGCGCGCATTATATCCGGATATTTATTTTCTCATCGCACGTGCTTCGAGAGAACGATTATTTCTAAAATAATTTAAAGAAGCCTGTACGAAATATGTATAATCTTAAAGTCGTTTTCGAGAAATCCGCGTACTGAGAAAAAAATGGTTGTAATTTAAATTATTATTATTATAAATATTTGACTATATATATGTATAATTTAGAATTATTTTCAATGCCAAATATATATTTTTTGATAGAACTACAAATGATTATTATACTATAAATTATTACTAGTGTTATAGCAATAATAACTATAAAAATAGAGCTCCTAGATAATTATTTTACCATGCATTATAATCCCAAATACCAAACATTTTTCTCTCAATCTATGGACTGCGATAAAGATCCGCTAAGTAATCCGTATCGCGTAGAATGTTTGATTGTGAAAAATATGCAATATTGCAACGGGTTAACGAGGAATTAATTGCTATCGTAATACCTCGTGTATGTTAAAATAAACAAATTATTTCCGCAGAATTCATCTATACGAACCAAGATGAGATTTACTATTCTAACGCTGACGGCTGTGCTTTGCCTCGCATTAGTGAGCTCGCATCCGCTTCCGGAAGACGGTCTCCGATCAGAGGTAAGCACGTGAGCGGCACATCTCGTGCCTTTCTCTTTTAACATCGCCATCTATTTTGCGGAGATTAATTCGCGGCATTAACGGTTACTTCTCCTATGCATTATCGCTTAATTATCTAACACGAATGGCACGTGGCACGCAACTAACAGAGTTCGAGGCCGAATTTCAAGTGTGACATAGCGTAAAAATTTTACTACTTTTTTTTGCAATTAGCGGTATAAGAGTTAATCGATTCCTGCGTAAAATTATGCATGACGGTTATAAAGATTTTCACTGTGTCATTGAATAGCAATTTCAACATTTTCCATTAATCTTTTCCATTAATCTTCATTTCTTCACTGGTCTTATCTTTAGTTCTTTCCCATATCGATTAAGGAGAAAGTCTGATTTGCAGAAAATAATGTCGCAGAGAATTTCTCTGTATCGAAACATAGAAATTACTAAATTACGTATGGTTATTAATTATTAATAAACGATATGGGTGATCAAACGCAAGATGATTTCTTCTCGATCGCGAAAGTTCAGCTACATTCCGGTCTACCAACATTAAATGCTCGATCGTTCTATCGAATTGATCGATTTGATGGTCGAAGATGACATTTTACTTTCGACGAGTCTTTCACTCGAACAATGTCACGGCGACGAAACTAATAGTAATATAAACAAAACGGCAATTGATATTTTATGACTACGTATTGTGTTTGTGGTTTATAGAATCGCAAATAAGAATTTGTTTATTTAACAACGTGAAACTTTTCTTTCTCTGGAAAATACTAGTAAATGCTGAATAAATTTTCCTTTCTATTCCCACTAATAAATACCATACATTTTATCGCAAAAATGCTTATGGAATTAATAAAATTTGCATAAGGTTCAATGCACTTCCACATTGAAATTGCGCTGTAACGACGTTGAAATCTTTTACGTTTGAAATATTATCCGTAGAATACACCGGAAATTATTTTGTAATTCTTGATTCTTCGAAAATGTGGCATTGCACGTTGTTACGATTGCTGTTACATTATTACATTACTTTGAAAATCATAGCTGTAATTTGAAGAATTCTGTCCATAGCGGCCATCATAGCTACTTAAACTTAACGTTTACCGTAATATATTGATAATTGTCATTGTTTACGTAACTTGCCGTTACAATTTAAGGTCATGCAATACGCAGAGCACGTACGTAAATACGCTGGAAAAATGGTTACCGGCCGAACTATTACATGACAATAAATATAAAGAGAGTTATTCGTTTGAAAAACATTTTGCGCTTAATGTCCGGGTACGAGCGCCTTCGTGCGGAGTTCAATGTTTCGGTAAATGCGACCGTAAAGTACACGGTGTAACCCTCAAAGTATACAATCTGACGAAAACCCGGGTCGTCCGACCGGCTCTCGTCCTCGCTCCGACACTTTCACTGGCCGCCAACATCAGCGGAGTTACTGGACACTTTCTTTGGTCGATAGACGTCCGATGGAAAGCTAGTGCGTACGCACAAGTGCAATTTAACATCACGGTGTGATATATGAAACATTGTATACAAACAAATTACTGGCCTTACGTCCGATCCGCATTTTCGCTCAGTCGAAGGATATGAGATAACAAGACGTGGCAGATATCGTGGATAATATTAGGGACAAGTAGATACAGACATAAATGATTAGGTGAATACGAATGTGAATAGCCTATTAGAAGTTTATAAAAAATCCATTCAGACATGTAAAGATGAATCATAGGACATAAACATGTTTAATTAAGAACTATTATTATTGTTGTTATTATTATTAATATTATTACCATGGAAAGAATGATTTTGCTGAAGTATCTAAGAATTTAGCTAAATACAGATCCAAAAAATAATTTTATCATCCATTAAAATGATTATATAAGACGCTCAAACATAATGAGCAATCCTGTACAAAATTTTGACATTCTATCAACTAGCTTGAGTCCTATACAATAATTTTGATGGTTTAAAATATTTAGATCTGTATCTAGTTAAATTTTAAATACTTTAGCAAAACTGCTTTTTACTATACTAAATAATACTAGAACACATAATTAATTGCATAAATAATTAGAAAGTTGAAAGGTATATAGTAAGGCATTAAAGAACACTATGTAAGGGGTATTAAAGAATTATGTGAAAGCAAGAATGTAATCATATGAAAGATGATGTTAATTTGTATGTAATTTTGATATATGTATCAATTTTTTCTTATCTCCTATTTCTAAGATTTTTAAACGTACAAAAATAAATTTACAAATAAAATTTCTTACTCAAAGTTGGTTGGGACGAACGAATACGAAGGTGATCGTATGAATGTGAAACGAGGTTTGAGGGAAAGTGTACCATAATGCTTCGGTTGAGCAACATTTGGGTTTGGTTCCCGCCCATTGGCCAATCTAGCTCCATCAGTACGAAATTTAATGCGAAACTGATATAAAATATACTCTGTACTTGAATCACCTTGTCGTAAAACAAGCTGTCCTTCTTGATGACACAAATATAGTCGAATGTTGACATTTCGTAATTTCAACTAAATTAGCAGTATATAATACCAGAATTTTGTAACTTTAATATATTCATACTCGCGCAATCTTTTTTTTTTAGATAAATGCCCGAGAATATACATTTAAGATAATTAATTCTCACGATCAATATCGGCGTAATAGCTATCTTTATTATCATAATATATAATAAATTTTTTAATTGTAATATATAAATCCAAGTTAATGAGAATTTGTTATTGTGTCTTCGTGAAGAAAATAGCAAAATTGGTTCAATATCTAGTGGCGCTAAATTAATGATCTTTGCTTGGTTAGCATCTAACATAAAGAACATTACACAACACAATTACCTTAACATTCTCAAACGCACTAAATTCCACGGCCTTCACCAACCATTTTCAGTAGGAGAGGGAAAATCACAAGTAGTTTCTTATTTGTCATTACTTCGTGCAGATACATAGTTTGACGTTATATTTTAACGCCACTTTGACAAAAACAAATTATTTTAACAAAAAGGGCAAAAGGATTCCTTTGGCAAATCCTTCATCATCATCATCATAATTCAAATTATTGTCTAACGCTTTGCGAGACATGTACTTCAGTGTTCTATAGGTTGAAAGATCCCAGTTCATACATACTTAAAAGCTCTTACGTAACTGTAGGAGTCCACGTGACTACTTACTTTAAGTAGATAGCCATTTTCTCGTAATCAAACACTGGCTTATTAATCCGTAAATGTGTATAGCCTCGAAGATTTGAGATCTACGAGGTGCATCAATTGAAATCCGATAACGCTTAATATCCTGCGATTATTAGTTGAAAAGCATCTTTGCTATCATAAAGATCTAAATTTAAATAGCTGTCGTACGACAGGGCCAACAAGAAAACTTTCTTTCAGGCCCTTGATCGGCTGGTGATGGCCGAAGCCGACAGCGAGGCTGCCTTGAGGAGCAAAAGGACTATTGGCATTCTACGACAGCTCTTCCCCGATATTTCCCAGGTGAGCAGTCGTTAATACGAATGTCAGAGAAATCCTGCAGAAGGCCAGGACTAGACTGACACGCCGAGCGGCGTTTTATAGACGAGAATGTACATAAATTATCATCACAGATTATATACCTCGCCTCGACAAACATTATCAAGGAGCAGTAAAACGTCCTTGAGCGATTCGCATCAGGCTGAAACGCACTAAGAATTTTTGATACTCTATAATTAGAACTTTGTTTTCGTCGATCTGTATAGGACTGTGCTGTAAAAAAAAAGCAGTATTCACTGAATACTTCAGCATTACATTCTTACCGAGAAAGTAACGCATACGATTTGAGAGGCAGCCAACGCATTAGCCAACTACCCTTTGCTCATTCATCGTACGCTCACGTACGGATTGATTTGTTTTGATCTCATTCCATGAGTATGTTCCGCATGAAGAGAACGGAAGCGGTTCGTCATGCTCCACGCTAATAAAAAAGAATAATTACGTCTCCATCGATTCTTCCTGTTAGCTATATGATATTTCTCGTGTTCTGTTTTTCCTTTCTTTTTCTGAATCCTCACTCAATCTGCAGTACCAGTTACACAATGAAAATTTTCACGAAAACTTAATAACTTTATTAGGGGAAGTTTCATTACGGTCCGAATAAAAAAATCGCGCAGTGCGAAGTAAATTGTTCATGGACGGAGTAAGAGAGGTTCCTACCTATAAAAACTAAACATTCTCGGGAAAGTTTCTTTCTTGCGTGTGAAATTCCTTCTAGCCGCCTATTGAGTTGTTCACGAATAACTTCCTAATTTGACTAATAATACGTTGTGCGATTTTTTTGTCTTGTTAGCAAATGGCTTCTTCGGCATTGGCCAGCAACGCCGGGTTTCTTATGCATGCGGTTGCATGTGCGTGCACGTGCACGACAATGGCGATTGATTTAGTAATGAAATTTGCAGAATAGCGTGAGTTAGTTATCTCACATTGCCGCGAAGTCGCAGTTTGAACGAGCCGGAAGATCGTTTGTGGAGGAATGTCGAAATTTCTCCGGCAGCGTCCTCGAATGATTGAACGAACGCATGAAGAGTTGATGACAGTCGCACGAAGTGACACTGTAAGATCCCTCCCGGGTTACGGAATAACTGCATTTCAAAGAAAACCATGTTTAATTCTGTCTTTGTATTTAAAATAGGATCGTAAAAATCTCACGGAATACCTGCTTCACTGAGCGACGAGTATTATGTAATAGCGGTAAACCTGATTTCCTATGACTTATAGCGCTGTTGAAAGGAAGTCCAAGCCTGGTAATAAGAGATAATGCGATAAGAAACAATAAATCAGTCATACTTAAACACAATATCAATCAATTACACAAATATTTATTAACTAGCAGAACGATTGATCAGATATTTAAAAAGATCCTCGTACAAGCCAAAGAAAACGTCATAAGTCCATATCATTTATAAATAATAAAATGTCAACGATCTGCCATGTGTTGATCGATATCATCACGATCACGCGACTGCAAAGCGATGTCTTGAAGTCAGAATAAAAAAAAAGGAGGAAGATCTATCACTACGCTGCAAGACTCTCCAGCAAAGGCATGTTATTTTCTAGAGAATCGAATCAAAGGTCAACTCTATTATCGGAGAAATCATTCGTGTCCTTGGTCCGGTCATCCTCCGCAATATTCTTGGCGGCGGCATGGACAATACCGCAGGCATCGAGAGGAGCGACGAAGGTACAAGCGTAGTAGGCATGTCGCCCTTCGGAGATGATGAGGATGAATCTACGTCAGCTGGCTCGAATAACGCTTCCAAAGTGTCGATCTCTTTGCCAACGTTTCCACCTGATGAGGAGGAAACGTTTAACTCCTCTTCGTCCACTACTTCAGCAGAAAGCAGAGCCAACATTGTCGACACTACGACGACCACTAGAGCAATGCCAACGACACCGTCTTTATCAGAAAACGAGGTTACCACTACGCAGTGACTGATTGATCAGCAGCTCGGTAAAAATTTCGAGGTCATGACCTTGAGGAATCATTATGAGAAATACAGAATTACAGAATTGCCTTGCAGAATGCCTTACCGCGCATTCAGGACTGCTGCGGCACTGCGTTGTCTACTTTGTGTGCTAATTATTCATTGGGTACTCGAGAAAAAGAGGATCGAATCGATCGACCACTCAGCTCTCGAAGGATTTAATGACCGCTAAGTTACCGCGCAATCAGGACTGCCGCGGCTACGCACGTTTTTCTCATTACGGTTGCTAACTGTTTTTGTCCTCATGCTATTTATCTAGCTATTAATCGATTAATGTTGCATTGGCAACTCATGTTGCTACGATCTTTTATTGCAATCTTATTTCACCAGAGTCATAGAATCTACAAAAATTTTTTCTATTGATTCTGGATCTTTCCATCTTATTATTTCAATTATCATTACGTGTTTTTCGTCTACGATTCATATTATATGTTTATATACATACAGAGTGTTCGGAAATAGATGAGAAAAAAGGAGTAATTCTAATTGATAAAATAAGGCAGGAATTAAGAATAACAAAATTATAATTATAATTTTTTAATACAAAGCTTTTTATTTATAAATGTTGAAATTAAATATAATATCTACACAAAAAATGCAATGTTTAAATGCCTAAAGCATTTTTGCTTTTATAATGCCTAAAGTACGTAAATATTTAGGTATTTAATATAATATAATTAAAAAACAAAGCCTTTTCTCCACTGAAATTTTGTTATTCTTAATTTTGTGAATATTCTAAATGTTTAAATAGTTACGTAAAGCAGTAAATAGTAAAAGCATCTAATTATTTAAACATTTATAACTAAAAGATGAAACATCCATTGCAATTTTGTTATCTTCGATTAATGACTTTCCATCTTATTTTATTATCTAGAATAATTCATTAAATTTTCTCTTACCTGTTGTTGAACACCTTGTATATATTTGTAGAATCATTTAAAACCTATGTGTCTATTCAAAACTTTTATTTCTTCATTATTTAACTCTGACAAATTCAATATCACATCTTTAACATTTATATCGTCTAGCACATTTCTTCTTTCATGAAACTTTGAAGCCATTCCAACTGCTAGATTATTTTTTAATTCAAGTTTGGAAGTTCATCTTAAAACAATCTTTTCACAAATAGCCTTCTTCGGCTTTTCGTTCTGTCATCTCTATTTTCAGTATGCTAATCATTTTTTAGTCATTAGTTGTTGCAGAATAAATCAGCCTAGTGATAATCGTGTTTGTAATGATCTTAAAAAATAACTTCTGTTTACGTTTTTTATATTACATCTACCGATATTATTTCATATATGTATATATATATATACACATATACATGAATTTCAAATAATACTTGCAAATTACATTGTTCGTCAAAATTCGACTTTTTTTCTACAGCAACCACGACCCGCATTTCTTAATAAATTTAAGATTACAAATCCGTCACCGATTGTCCATCACATCAGGATTTTGAGATAAATCGATAATATGAGCCAAAAACAGCGTTTTTTGCCATATTTATCAATTTTTTGTGGTCAAATTTAACGAAATTTTATTTTTCAATTTTATTAGTGTCACTCTAAAGAGCAAATCTTTACCCTTAAAACAAATTTGTTTTAGCGATTTTTTCATCGAGTTATGAATGTTTTTTAAAATGTAAAATGGTGGGTCCAAATTAACGAATTGAAGGAAAGTACAGAAAGAAAGATAGATTTGTATCAAAAAAGTATCTTAGGTTTCCTAAAGATCGCTGTGATACCGAATCTGAAAAACTTAAAATATAGAAATTCAAAATAGCGAATCCATTATGGAGGACAAAATGCGAAAAGTGAGATTCGATCCGCCATATTAGATCCGCCATTTTGAATTTCCATATTTTAAGTTTTCCAGATTCGGTATCACACACAGTGACCTCTAGAAAGCCTGAGATACTTTTTTGATACAGATCTATCTACTTTCCAGGTCAATTTGAATCTACCATTTTACATTTCAAGAAACGTTCATAACTCGATGAACAAAAAAAATCGCACAGTAAAAAAAATTCGTTTTAAAGGTGAAAATTCGCTCTTTAGAGTGGCGTTAATGAAATTAAATAATATAATTTTGTTTGACCACAAGAAAATGATAAATATAGCAAAAAACCCTTTTGACGAAAAATATTTTTGGCTCATATTATTCAATTTATCTAAAAAATCTGACGTGATAGGCATCTTTCGCTGGCGGATTTAGATTCAGCGACCTTAAATCTATTAAGAAATGTTGGCCCTACTTGCCGCAATTTTTTTGTTGGACTGTGTTATTAGCAATTAGTAATCCACTATTCAACTTTTCGTTCGATAAATCATTGACGATTACGTGATGCCCGAGATAGTATAATTTAACATAAATAATATATTTGTTGAAAACATTCTGTTTAATTTGTTATTAATATGCTATTTGTGCCGCTTATTGATTATGCATGTTACATATTGTGTAACGTATCGTTTATAATTCGCATGTTACTTGTTTTGATTTGATTATTATATAAATGTAGTTAAAAGATTTAAAAGTAAATATAGTATTAATCATATTTTAGTTCTGATGCACAAAAAAGCTCAATCAAAAAGTAACTATAAACTCATGTAAAGGAAGTCATATATATCATCAATAATTTATAGGAAACGTTGTTGGAATATTACGTAGTCCTAACAACACTTTACACACCCTGGAATTATGCAGGCGACCTACTTGTCATATGATTGCGATTTTTTGTGCATTTCTCCTCGTTGAAAAAATCAACAATGATCGATTGAATAATAATAAATCATTAACAATCTGTGTCACAATATATCTATATCATGCGTGTTGCTTGTGCTACGAAATGCACATATAAAATGTATATGATGAAATGAATAAGTTGCTTTTTATTCGCTCCGTCAAAAAATTGCCAGACATCGTAACTTATTGTATGGAGCCTTATTCTCCAGAAATATCATATACCAAAATACTATATAATATATGTATATTATAATGTACATACGTATCACGTATATTACAAATTTTCTTATACAATATAAATTCAGGAATAAAACCCCCCTGATTCTTGTCAGCCATAGGAAACGATTTTTTTACAGGACGTGAACCCAGAATCAGAGAATCGAGTGAACGAGATCGGATCGGAATCACAGAACAATGAAGTGCGAGTGCAATTCGCGGACGAAGTGTCGAGCGACAGTTCGCCGCAAGAGTTGACGCCATTGGACGAAACCGAGACGGAGGAGGATGAGAATAGAAACAAGAGATTCCTCTTTGGTTTCGGCGGCGGTGCAGATAGAGGCGCCGGGTCAGGCAATTTTCTCTTCGACATTATCAGGGTGAGTTGCGATGTCTTAGACATAACTTCCTTTGATAACTATGCTGCGTAAAAAATGGAGATTGGAATCATACTCAAGAGAAGATGGGGAATGGGGAAAGCAGGTTTGCGGTTGCATTGTATGAGTCCAGATCTACAATAAGTTTTTAGCCATAAGAAATGTACGAGAATTATAGTTAATTATTCTCCTTGCATTTGACTGTAATTGGACAATTTTTTATGGCTTAAGACTTAAAACATTTATTGTAGATCCGGACTAACGCAACGGTGCGCCGAGTGATCAATCTCGAATACACTTGATATTCCAGTAACGGGCGAGTAACTGCAAGGTTACTATCCGCAAACGGTAGTGAAAGTGCGCAACCGAATTGTCTTTAACCACCGCTGCACCATCTGTTACTATTCCAAGGTTCCTGACCTAGGCACGATCGGGTCTCGCGACAGAATTACCTTAGTCAAGATTCTCGCCAAAGCCAATGTCTTTGATTAAAGTCTATACGATAAAATTCGCGATTTCATACATGCAACGCTAGAGAAATGCTGCGGGTTAGTTAAACTAAGACTTAGCAATAATAGAAGATAGAGTGGGTAAACAACTACTTTACTGTGTAATTGCAAATACTATTTGTGGTCTGTTCAATGTTAATCTTTATTACAAAAAAATACTTATACTTCTAGACAATTGAAGTTCTTTCCTTCTGTTTTAAATGTTTTTTAAAGGAGTGCTGAAATGTATCGATATGTATCGATAAAATAGATTTTTAAGTTCAAAATAAAAACATTATGTATTTCTTGCCTTGCTGTATTCTATATGTCTCGCATAAATGCTAGATTATGTATGTACACTCAGATTGTACTTTTCTAGAGAGTACAAATAAAATTGTCTAAAAGATAACTAAATTGCTATAAAGATATCTTTTAGTGAAAGAATATAGTCGAAAAAATGAGTAAAAGACAAATATCGCACTGCTAGTCATCTTTATAGATGTTTCCATATGATAATTAAAAGATGATTTCTGTATATACATATCTTTTAGTTGTCTTTATGACTTCTTTTAATTTTTATATTTTGACACATATGTATAACGTCCAATAACATCAGATTCCTGAATTAATTTTTACACAAAACTGAACGAAATAGTATGATAATATACATCCCATTTATGAATCCTGCAATGCTTGCCGTATCTTGTATGCAAGAGTCATTATTCTTTCATCATAATCAGGACATGTATTTGAAATACTTTTATTTAAAACACAGTTTTTGCAATATAAGTATATTTTGTATTTTGTATTTCTGTGGAACACATAAAAGTATTACGCATTTTGTATTTAAAATTGAAAAATTGTAAGTTTTTTGTACTTTGCAATTCAAATAATAATTAATTGTTAATCTTAATATTTGAAATACAAAATACAAAATACTTTTATATGTTCCCATGAAGTACATATTTGAAGTATAAAATACAAAATATTTGCATGTGCTTCGTTGAAATGCATAATACAAAGTACAATTGTCTCACAAATACTGTTTTCCAAATAAAAGTACTTCACAAATACATGACTTCAGCCCTGATCATAATCCCCTTTGAAGACTCGCTTTCAAAAAATATATTCTTTATTAGTGTTTATTAGAACGCAAGTGAAATTTTTCATAATGCTGCCTTTTTTATTCTATTCTGTACGTTTTCAAATACGAGAAAATAAATTCCATCACATCCGTCTGGTGGCGATTCCGTGTACTGCTCGTAAATAAGTGACAAAAAGTACTAAAATAACAGAAAGGTAATTTTTTCTTCATGTTGTCTTTTCGGTAAGACGAAAAGATACCTTCTAATCAACTTTTCGTTTTGTCGAAAAGACAACAAAATAAAATTACATAATCACCAGAAATATACAATCAAACAATACTTTATCCATTAGGATCTCATAAATATGATGTATTTTGATAGTCACACAATTTTATTTAGTTTCGTATAAAAATTAATTCAGTGCCCATACAGCATTCTTCCAAAGATGTTTTTACGAATGTTCTCAGAACGTTTGGATATTCTCAGGATGTTCTTCAGAACGTCCCTTGAAAATGTGTGCTAAATGGGTGATCTGATGCTATTAAAAGTCATATATTGCACAATATAAAAATTAAAAAGGTTTTAAAGACAACTAAAAGATATCCATGTAAAAGTCATCTTTTAGGATGCGTTTCGAGTTATGCATGAAGTGCATGATGCATTATTTATCTCTGTTGTTCACAAAATAATGAAGAAGGATAAAATGGTACGTCATGCGCTTTATGCGTAACTCGGAACGCACCCTAAAGGCCGCAGCACATACTTTTGCATAACGCACAACACGTAACCCCGGATCTACAATAGAGTTTTAAGCTTTAAGCCGTAAGGAATGGACAAATCACAATCAATTATTCTCCTCGCATTCGACTGTAGTTTGTCAATTTCTTACGACTTAAGGCTTAAATCTTCTATTGTAGATCCGGACTAATGCATAAGAAAATGAAGTCAAAGTCCTTCGTTTCCTTCCTTTCCATGAAATAAAGAACTCTGGTTGGTTGAATTTCTTATACTGTATGTGTTATCCGTTATACAAGAGTCTGTGCACCCCGCTTTAGATATCATATGGATAAGGCTATAAAGATGATTAGTGATGGGACATTTATTTTAAGATCGCAGCACAGACTTTTGCATAACGCATAAGTGTATAAAAAAATCAACCAGTATATATAAATCAAAGTTCCTTTTTTTTGTGAAATAGAAGGAAAGAAAGAATTCTTATTGGTTGATTCTCTTACGCACTATGTGTTATACGTTATGCAAAAGTCTGTACTACGGTCTTAAAACGGAAAGCACAAACTCTTGCATAACACACAGTGCATAATGCATAAGAGAATGAACCAATCAAAATCCTTTATTCCTTTCCTTATTTACATGAAGTAAAGGATTCTGATTGGCTGATTTTCTTATGCTATATATGTTATGTAAGAGTCTGTGCTCCCCGATTTAGTCACCTTTTCATTAATATTCCTTTACCAAAAGATATCTTTATAATAATTTATCATTTAGGCTTTTAGTCATCTTTTAGATGATTTTGTGTTTCTTGGATATTGAGTAAAAGTGAATAAAGAAAAATCAGTAATTTCTTTATTTTTTCTTGTTTTGGACACAAAATACACCAGAGCCAAATATTATGTGTATTTTGATCGTGAAAAAAAATTTAATTGTTCTGTGAATAGTACAAGTATAATACAAAGTAATTAGTTACACAGTATGGAACAAAAATGATATTTTTATCGATAAACAAAAACCAGTATTCCTTTATATAGCCAGTGTTTCACTTTCTTTAAAAAAATTTGAAATTAATTAATTATTTATAAAGCTCTCTCGGAATTAGTTGCACATTTCGGGCCGATTCCTGAAAAGTCGGCAACTTTACCCCCATTACCGCTCAACGCTAGACGATCGAGTTGCGCGTGGACGTATATCACAATCGGTAGTGCACTATAAGTAATATGCGGCAACTGTACTTTCCAGTAAATTATAATTAAAATACTTTCCTTCCTACATAATTGTTATTTTCTTTATTTAACCGAATTTTCTACTATTTATAAATATATATATATATGTATATATTGCAATATAATTGACAATAATTACAATGTGAACAATAGCTTTCCACACCACTTTTGAAGTATATTTTTTATGCATTTTTTTAAGAGGTTTAATAGACTCAGTAGGCCTATTCCACTAAAAAATGACGAGAAAACTGATCATTGATCAGATACGTGATTCGATAGGAAAACAACATTTTCTAATGCAAAATATTGATTAAAATAAACGAGAGAGAAACAGAAACAACTAATTACAATTTTCTTGAAAATATTATATAATGCAGCAAGATAACTGCTTCAAAATAAAATATTCGTGTTTCTTGAAGTTTTATTTTCATGAATGACCATCACGAAGATAATGTTAAGCTCATATTGAGATATTTTCAATTGTATTTGCGTCTGGAGATTGGAAATGCCAATCCATCGATCAATGTCATTTCTATATTTTTGAAAATTTCTTAAAAAGCATGTCTCGTGGAAAGCATACTTATAATAAACTACATCTAATCGATAATAATGGAGACTGAACATCATTATAAGTATAAATGCATTTTAGTAAATATAATGTACTTTTAAAATATTACTGTATTTTTTTTACAATACATTCGGTTGCTTTTAAAGAATTGCTGACCACACTTTTGTGCCACAGACTGAAATATTCTGTAATATAAAATTTTACTTTACCGGATCATATATTTGATCATCCTTTTTTACTATTTTTTAATGAAATGAACAAGAGAACACTTAAAGAACACATCAATAAATAGAACTTCAAAAGTAATATGGAAAAATATTGTTGACATTATAATCATTGTATTGTAATTATTATTAATTATATTGCAAAATATATATATATATGTTAATAGTAGAAAAATTGATTTAATGAAGAAAATAATTATTATGTAGGAAAGAAAATATTTTAATGATAATTTGCTGGAAGGTACGGTCGCAACATATACATATTTCTCATATAGTGCGATGCTCCTGAGATACACGTCCGCATACGATCCATCGCGGCTCGGCCATCGAGTATTAATCGATACTAAGAGAAAAGTATACGCTTCAGAAATCAGCTCGAAATGTGCAACCAATTCCGAGCACTATTTTATATAATGATCGAAAAGTAACTCATTATCAGATACTCAATAATTCCAGTATATACAATTGTTAACGTGCAATTATTAAAAAAAAATCAACACTAATACTTTTAAGAAAATTCTTTAGTTATCTATTTTATTATAGAAAATGACACAGTGATTGACTGCAAATTGACTGCATGATGCCTTAGTACAATGTATTCAAATATGTTGACATACTTGGTTATCAAGAATTATAAAAGTCGGATTTGATTCACATTTACAATCAATATATCGACTACTCTTTCCAATTTGACCGACGGAGGGTTAGGCAAAAAAGATGTACGAGATGTCGCGTGATATCACTAGGATGCGCAATGAAATATAACAGAAGTTTCTCGAAAGTGCTCCGCAATGAGAAGGATATAATATATAAAAGATCTAGGAACACCTATAATCAGGGACGTCAGGGTGTGGAGAAATGAAATTAATAACCTAACCTAATTTCCCTACTGGGAGCCCTCGCTGGTAGGGGTACCCTTAGAGGTATAACTTACAGAGGGTTAAAATTTGCCCTTGACGTCCTTAATTTTGTTTAAATCTCATTATTCGTTATTTTATTACATTTTTTGTCGAAAATACTATCCCAATCAGAAATGATAATGGAATCGACATCGAATCGACGTCGATTTGATGTCGATTCCATTATCATTTCTGATTGGGATTGCTGATGAAAAAAAATCATGCGTACCATTATAATGGAATCGACATCGAATCGACGTCGATTCGATGTCGATTCCATTATCATTTCTGATTGGGATTGCTGATGAAAAAAAATCATGCGTAATATACACTATATTTCTTTTCCATTGTAATATTAGTAATAAGTTATTTAAAATTACAAAAGAACTTCAATTTTAATTTAATTTTTTATTTAACGATATATGATATATCAGATGTATAATTTTTGCAAAAAATGATTAGAAGGAAATTTATTTTTTCCATATAAGAATGTAAATGTTACAGAAAAAAGAAAACGTTTAATAAGAAAAATCAATATTTATATTTAACAATACAATTTTATAATTTAAATAAAAATTTTCTTTATTTATCTTAATTAGTTTTTAAATCATGGTATCCTTTCTTTATTAAAATAATTTTTTCTGGTTTTAAATCCTGCCAAACTTTTGTATTACTTTTAAATATTTACAATATATATATATGTATATATAAATATCCGTAATTAAAAAAAATTTGTTCATTTGTTAAAAAATACAGGTAATACGTCTATTAAAAAATTAGTTAATAACGTATTAATGATGTATTAATAGATTTAATTGCTGTTTGCATGACGTGATATGAAACCATTATTTTATGTCGCATGTATGTTTCTCGAGAAAATACAATCGTACATGTATCGTGGAAGAGCGTGAACAATAACCGTGTCGCGCACCAACGACACTCGGTGACCAGTTTTTTCTGCACAGTGTCTATATCGGTGAAACGGGTTTTTCACCGTCAGGACAGATGCAATCACGCGAAAATCGAGTCACCGTTTCCAATGGCTGCTGTCACCGTTATACCGTTCTTTGCTTTCCTGGCAAAAAGACATTATTACGAGTGGTTCGAAACGATTCTAGACCGGTCGCGCGCGCTGCGACCCTTCACCGTTCACAGATTGAGAAAACAAGAAATTTGCTACGTGACCGATCTATTCGCTCTTGCCGTAGATATTCACCTGTTAATAAGCGAAAACTTAAGCTAAAACATTTTGTCCTCTTACGGCAAGAACGACACTTTACACGATTTCACTTAAAATTTGAAACAAAGATTCTCAAACAAAAAGTCATTATAACATTAAAATAGTTAAAAAATGATTATTAAACTTACTGACTGCAGCAATCTTGGATTATAACGTCAAAAACGAGAAAATATATAAAAAATTCTTGCAAACAGTATTAAAATGTGAACATTTTTCAATAAAACAATAGCTTCAAAAATAGATTCATAGAATCATAGATATGTTAAAAAGTATAATATACCGAAAATTTCTCTTGTGTTTGATTATCGATAAACAACCATATATTCGAATAAACAACCATATATTCGAAATTGAATTATGCCTAAAATTATATGATAGCTGTCGAATTGAGATAAATATGATTTTATTCTATGTCGGAAGGAGTTTATGATGTATTTTACAAGTGTACTCTATCAAATGCAAATGTTGTTTTATTTAAAAATAAATTTCTAGATATTTTGCAAGAACTTTCGTCATCTTTTTTTTTGCTTCTGACGTCATCAATCTAAAGATTTATGCATTAAATATCAAAGGAGTAACGGTAACTTGCCTTAAGTTAAATAAAATTTCGTTATTTTTAACTTCCATGTTTGTCAAAATGTATAAATCAATCCATTTCTGCGATTTAAAATAAATATCCATATTAACGTATGCACTTAGTAATAATAAATAAAATTTAAATCAAATTTGACACATTTTCTTGAATTAAATTATTTAACTTCAGTTTTAATTAAATTAACGACATATTGAATAGGAGTAGATGAGTTATAGAAATGATTAGAAATAACTAAAATTAAGTATGATTTGACGTTATAAATTTGATTTAACAGTATGAGTGGTCAAGAGCCTTAAAAGTCGATCACTTTTCCATCAATCATGATTTATTCTGACATCATTTTAACTTAATGTGATCGTTGTACTGCTTAGGCTTTTAATGGTTATGAAATAAAATTAATATTTATTGAATGAAGACATTTAATTATGACATTGATAAATTAGTTGGCAAGATTTTAACGACTGTGAATAGAATTGATATTTATCACGTAACGGAGAAATTTAATTATGTATAACATTCAAAAACTACTAAAAATGTGACAGCAGCATAATAAGAAGTGATATTTTAATGATATTTGGTAGAAATTTTTGTAATGACATTTTAGACTGCGACATCCCAGTCGGTCAATACCGGACAGGTTTCAACTATTTAACAAATGTGCATATTTATATAGACAAAGTTCATACGAAGAAATTGTACGTAATATCGCTAACGACATCGACTCGTCGATATCGAATCGGTTTTTCTTCACACAAACTTTGCCTGCGGAGACACGTATAGTTAAACAATTAATTCCTCTCCATTTTTCACGATGGCAAAATAAACTGATTGCGTGACAATCCATCAACGGCGATCGAACGACCACAACCCTCCAGGTTTCACCCGAGGGCTTCACTTTGTCACGATTACAGTACTTTTAACGAACCACTTTCCAGCCATTATTGCAGGACGTTCCAGAAGTTCGCGTGGAGTTCCGCTGGGAGAGATAGCGATCTCTTGTGCGATATCGCGCAGACGGACGGGAAAATGAACGAGAGAAACGAGAGAAATTTCCTTCCAGTGGGAGTAGAGAACTCCAAGTAAACGAAACTGTTCTCGTCTCTGTTTCTCGTTTAGCAAGCGGCCGACGGGGCGGCAAGAGCGGCGGGCACGGTGTACCGTGTCGTGGCCGGTACACAGAGCCTCGGGCTCGGGCTAAGCGCTTCGCGCGACGTGGGCCCGACCGCCCCAGTTGCCGCCAACCCCGGCGGTACTGGCACCCCGATGTCCGGCGCATCCTCGACCGCCGCCCCAGGAGCCGGCATTCTACCACCGGTACGCCAAATCCTTCCGACACGCCTAAGTATCCGCCGACAGAGAGTACGGCGACTGCGCTTCTTCGACCGAGCCCGATGAGACGGATGCTCACTTATGCCCTTCTTTTAGAGAATAGCAGTTCTTCGGCGAGACTTCGATGACGAAACGCGTCAAATGATCTGTATTTGCTCTAAAAGTCGAAGAAAACGATCGTAGGCGTTGAGTGGGCACGCAATGATGCGTTTATTTCTTTGTGCCAGTGATATCAATTCCTTACTTCAAAAATAATACCACTAAAAAAATTTAATTTCCTGGAAAAAAAAGAGAAAATTAATTCTTCAATTTGACAGAAAATTATTGACTAATCAAATAATATCGGCGAAGGAAATATATCCTTAAGGCTCCTGAGTAGTCAGCATGCGATTCAAAATCAGTCGGCGACCTGATGAAATTTGGCGAAATCGGTAGCCACATACACACAAACACGAACCCGTGTACATGTGCTCTCGGCGCGCCGAAAGCGAGCACATGTTCATGAGCTCGTGTTTGTGTGTGTTACAGCGCCTAGCCACGATAAATGGCTGAACTTATAGGCGTAGGAAAGTGACGTTTTGACGATGAAATTTGTGCTGCATGTCATTTCGTTATTATTTGTTTAATTGTGAAAATGTGACGTGTCTCGTATGAAAGTCCTAAAAATGGGCAGAAACTATAGTTATCGTGGAATTTTATGCGTAAAAGCGTATATTTCATTTATTTTTAACAGCTGTTCAAACCGTGTGTTTCTGTCCAAAATTAGGCTCACTTTACCTGCCTTTTACGACTATTTACCAGAGTTGGGTAGTGCCAAGTTAAAAAGCTAAAAGTTAAGTTAAAAAGTTGAAAAGTTAAATAATTTTAACTTAACTTAGTTACATTTTAGACTCTTAACTTTTTAACTTTATTTAGTTACATTTCATCGATAACTATTAACTTTTTATTTAAATTTTTTGAAGTTAAGTCTCAGACTCAAACATATACTTCATTTAAAACATACTCTATATTTTACTTAAAAGTTTTGTTTGTATATATTATTTACATTATATATTGATTTCAATCTAGCAAAAACCATATATTTTAATGTATCTAGTTTTTGATAGGTTGAAATCTATAATATATATATAACAGTATATATCAACAAAAAGTTTAAATAAAATATAGAGTATATTCTAAATGAAGTATATGTTTGTCATTTCCGTTATTTGTAAGACTCTGAAATTATAAAATAGAAAGAAATTTAACTTTTAATTTTTCAATTACTTTTTTTTATTAACTTAACTTTTAATTCAATTAATTTCATTATACATTAACTTGTATCTTAACTAAGTTAAATTTTCAAGGTTGTTAACTTTAACTTAATTTAGTTAAAAGAAAAAATTAACTTACCCAACCCTGCTATTTACTGATTATTAAGGAAGAAAATTACAGTTTCTGCCCATTTTTACAAGTATTTTAAAGCAATCTCGTCATTTAGATTTATCCAAATTGTCTTTATTTACAAATGATTATGCTTGCAGCATAAATTAACGTGTCATTCCTCGCTTCGGCGTCACGATTCCAACATGACTGCCGCGACTACTCAGGAGCTTTTAATATGATCAAATGTCATTTTTGTTATTTATGTTTCACAAGCATTAAAAAATCACTTTTTTCTAGGTATGACAATTTTTCTTGAAAGCAACTCTTTTTGAATTTAGATGATTTTCATGGTTTATGTGGTTTTAGGTGGTTTTTCATAAAATTAAATTAATTCACTTTTAATAATTGGTAGAGTAATATTTACCTAATTCATTCATGATAATAACTGGAGAAACAATTTTTTTATTGTAACATTTTTTAAGTAAGGAAGTGATCTGACATATAACGTGTCATGAACTTATGATCGTTTTTTTCTATTTGTTAATGTGAGACAATCGACGGTTGGTGCTGCACGTACATAGCATCAATCGAATTTATCGGGTTCGTTCATTAACTTTCTCTTTCTTTCTGTATCTATTTCATTCTACTAATATGACTTCCATCTTTCTTCTCTTTTTACTTTATTTTTCTCTATTTTCTTTTTCTACTCTACTTTTTATACTTCTTTTATTTCATAATCACCTTCAGCATGTCATACATTTTCCAATTGCATGAAAAATTGATAGTCATCTGATTTGAGTATCAAATATGACTCGAAGACTTGATCCTCTAGAGTTGTGTGACGATGGGTTTATTAAACCTCCTGTATTGATTGATTAGATAACAAAAATTTTGAAGTAAAAATAATTTAGTCTTCTTTATAATAAAATAATATTAAGATAAAAAATACATTATTATATTTGAATTTACTATTAATTCTTAATTCTTGTATACATTGTTCTAACAATTGCCATTTTAACAAAAATGTCAAATAATTAAATTTTCTTTATGTTACGTCTACAAAAAATTTGGATCGTTCTTATTAAAATAATTTTTAAATAGTATTTATTATTTTTCATACAAGTTACGTCATTTTGATTTTCTTTAAAATTTATTAAAATTTATACATATATTAAATAGATTTTATAAAATGTGTTAGAGATTTTGACGCGCGCGCGTTAGCTTCACACATAGGATTAAAATTTATTATAGTTTTCTCTAAAATACTGTTCCATATATATGTATTTATTTTTGTAATATCGCAATCGTGCACTACAAGCAAAAATAATACAAGTGCACTCTTCACATTATACCTTGTAATTATGTTGTCTTAATTGTCCTATTATCTTCAATCAACTTCTTCACGTAACTCTTCTCTAATCGCAAAATCTTCCTCGCATTGTATTGCACTTATCTTTATCTGCATGCCGCACTTTTTCACATATACGCATCACTCTCAACTTGGTTGTATGACGTTTCTTAAATCTTCCGACTTACTTTCTACCAATGACTTAATCCCTCACGACGACTTATTTTGAACAGGTTATCGACACTCTTCCTGTCTAGTTTCTTTTTCTTTTTCCTCATACACCGTTTCTCCTTCCTTTATACAAAGCATCTACCGATCTTGCCTGTCTCGCTGCGCATGAATTGCATATCAAGATCTCTAATATTACCGGCCTGTTGTAAATGCGTACGTGTATATGTTTGAAAGTAATGCAACACACAGCGAGTTCTATAATCTGCCGTTCCCTCTGTATAAAACTATCTCTTCTTTATTTACTACGACTTCTTTGTATCCACGCACTTTTTTTATATGTCTAATATTATAACGAGGTCTTGCCATGTAATTTGTACAAATTGCGCATCCCTAACTCCTAGCTGAATATTACTTTATATATTCCTATGCAAACATAGAGTTGAAGTATAACTATATAGTTGACTAAAACGAGTAATATATTTACACAATATTCGGTTTGTATTAAAAATATTATTAATAGAGTCGCCATTTTTTAGAATACACAAATATCTGATAATGAGTATAAAAAAGGGCATTATGGTGTATTTTAGACATTTCTATTTAATCAACATCTTAGTTTTATTAAAAATGCAATTTGCACTGAGTAACATTTAAAAAATTTCGCAATCAGAAATATAAAGTTTATTTTTCAGTTGAACTTTTTCTGTCGTTCATCTTTTCTCTTTTTCTCTCCAACGAAGAAAGAGATGAATAGTGCAAGAAGTTTAGCTGAAAAGTATATGATCAATTATAATTCGTAAATTCTTAATACTTTTAATTGTTTATATGCCCTTAACAGTTACTTAATTGAGTTTTCTTCAACTCTAGAATATTTACCGGATAATTTTGTCCATTTCATCTCGTTCCAAATCCCATCTTGTTCCACCCGGCCAACGGTCCCGACGCAACGCTGACAACCACCGACTTTTTAAATCTGGCGTACTGACCAGTCCGCCATTGATCAATGCCGATTCTCTCGTTGTTGTGATCTTCGTACTCGTCCACTGCACCGTATATATCTAGCGGTCCGTAGTTGTATCTAGTTCCATTTATTTTGGACACACCCAAGTAAATGCACGCAGTTTTGTCGCGGTAGACGAATCGGTCGCAAGAAATAATTTGACAATAATATCAGCGCAGATTCTTTGGATGAAGAATGAATGTTTAATGATCGTTATCAAGAAGCTGAGATTTCTCATCGCGACGGAACCGGTTTGTCTGCCAGACAGAGATCTGCATCTCGTAGATACTTATTGTAAATTTAGTCCACGACATGTACAAACTCGACGCATTCGTAACTAGACCCATGCATCATAGACCAAGAGACGTCCCTATCAAAAACATCTAGAGAATAGTTCTATATTCTCTGAACGTCCTCAGGACGTTCCCAGAACGTCTCTCGGATAAAGTATGATGTGCGGGAAGAATTCGCCTGAACACCAAATTCAATATTATTCTTATTATGTTGTATTGCGAATTGCTAGATACGATGCGTATTATTGAGAGTTGGTCGTGGCATATGGTTTATCCTGTTGTCACTATTGGGTACTTGGCGATTTCACCTTTTCATGGTGCACGTGCAGGGTGTCCATATATGTAGAAATCCTTAACCGGATGTCGATCCATGATCGCTTCGCGGGATCGCCTATCAAGAATAATCTCAAATAATTCTCAAATTGAAAAAAAAAGACGTATGGACACCCTGCAGACAAACTTCGAGTATTACGAGCCGAAGGAGCGCACGTAAGGATCGTAGCAGCAAGATCGATGGTTCGTATGTTGTAGCCGCAAGTAGGAATAAGGATGTGAGAGCACCGTAGTGTCGGGAGCGCTGGAATTGGACGTGGAGCTGCAATACACACCGCAATTTTATTACCCTCCAACAAACAAACAAACAAACAAACAAAATATTATAATTCCTGTATGTTTTGTACTCACTTCTTCGCCGCACATCCCGAAATCCATTCCGGGACGTAAACGGCGGGGTGCCCCTCTAATTACTCCAACTAATGCTAATAAATCTCTGTAATCTTTTCAGCTGGTGGCCGGAAGCGGAAGTAACCAGCTGGGCGGCTCTTCCTCTTCGGACACCCATGACGGAAAGTCGGATGAACACGAGGCCGTACCCGGCCCAGTCACCAGGTTCTTCGTCATCGCTAATCGAGGACTCTCGAATCTCGTCCAGGATCTCATACTCGTGAGTATAGAAACTTTCACCGATCACTAATTTTAACTTTTTTTTTAGCATAACAGAATTTTGCATTTATTTAAACTCTGCACGAAAAAATCGATTTTATTAAAGTATCTAACATTTTAGCTGCATACAAATCCTGGCAAGTTTCAATTTTAATTTAACTTAGATGCAGATCTAAATATAATTATGTTGACCATAATCATCAAACTAATTACATAGGCCGTAAAATGTTTAAGTATGATGATAATACTACAAAAAATTTTAACATTTTAGCAAGCCGTTCACGTCCAATATAATTATTTAGATGGCCCAATAAAATTATTTCCAAATCTATATCTACTTACATTTTTAGATACTGTAGCAAAATTATTCTTTTCATGTAACTTTTGCAATTCGAACGCGTTATTGCTTTGATTGATACATTATTGATATTTTTCTTGTTACGTAACGTTATAAGGTATTTTTTATAAATGTAGAACATTCCTTGTGAGTGTCTGAAGTAAATAAATTAACTCAATGACACAATAATTATTGTGCGATTGTGGAGGTATAATTATCCATAAACTTTATAAGCTGCGCTTATTTTCGACGTGAATGTATCATATACTAGTCGATTCCTATAAAAAGAGGGATAATTGGTGGTTAATAATCGATTGCCGTTACAGAGCTCACAATAGCTGCGTTCAGCAGAGAAAACTAATCAGTTAGCGCTTAGTGATTCTTTAATTGGTTCTTGTTTTTAGTTGTTCGTTGGACCTAAGTGTAGGAACCGATCATATTAAAGAATCACTAAGCGCTAACTGATTAGTTTTCTCTGCTGAACGCAGCCAATGTGATCATAGTACTAACAATGTGATCATAGTGCTAACAATGTGATCATACGCGACTATTATTTAATAACATATTTTGAAAGACATCTGCGTCAATTAGCTACATACTATAAGCAGACAACATAATAGGATTTATATTCATTATACCGGATGTCGATTATAGATTTCAAAATTTTAATGACTCTTAGACCACGCGAAGGTAAACCACGTCTATGACGAAATATTGAACAACTGTGTCGAAGAGCAATTAATAAGTAAAAGTTAAATTGTACATAATATCGTTAGACAATTGTGTCAGAAATAAATCTAACTGTAATTATAATTCATTTAGAAATTGTAGGTATAATTAATTTAAAAACTAAAAAAATTCAACTCCGGTGTGATATATGTGTGCGCAATCGCGCAAATGATTGCGTGGTTTCTGACGCACATAAGTTGTTCATATCTCTATTTCATTATCTACTGGAAAATTAATTTCAACATTGGAACGAGGAAAAGGATTAGGAACTTTTTTCTTATTGGAATCACGGCGTTCACGGTTCACCGCGTGAAATTTGCGAATCTTGTACTACAAATCAAATAAATAATTCAAATAAACGAAAAACTTATAATACTGCACGTGACGTAATTCCGATCCCACGATAAGTAATCCAATCTGTCGTCGCAAGCGACTGCATTTGTCGACACGCGATAATTACTACTCGCAAACGGATTCGTTTCTTCAACGGATTTGCCAAGTGAAATTTACATCGTGGTTTCTTATATAAAATTACGAGATTAATTAAAACGGCGACGGAAACGCGTGACAAAGAACGCGACACAAATCACGAAACTGCGAGTTTTAAAAAAGAATAAAGAAGTATCAAAATATCGCAACCACGCAAAAAAATATTTTACTACTCCAGCTAGAATTATAGCTGTTTTTGTATCTGATAGAAAATTATGTATCAATCGCATAGAATTTATAGCACAAATCTATCTGTGTCATCTATATGATTAGGTGCAATACATATCCAATATCGCAGTATTTGCTAGAAATTTATCTATTTTAGCTATTTTTCTTAGATAATTTTCGCTATAACTGCAAGATCACTCTTTTAAGTGACTTACAATTAGTTGGATAATAATCATTGATAAAAGATGTATGAGTCCTCAACGCTATATAACGAATCATATTAAAAATCCATTTGGAATTAGTAAAAAACGTCGCGAATGTTAAATTAGGCACGTGAAATATCAAATTTGAAACCGCACGCAAGAATAAATAAATACATATACGATGAAATTCATAAAACCTTTTTAAAACTCGGGAATTGAAGGAGACATTAGTCTGTCATAATATTTACAAGTTTATGGCATAATACTTTATTAAAGTTGAGTGTTGTAGCGCGTCGTAAGGCCACGTTACCTCGGTTGCGGTTATTGATTAAAATCTCATATAGCGGTGATCGGAAGATTTAAACCTTTACGGTAGCCAGTCACGTGTTCGGCCGAAAGTCAAACAAGCGTAGCACCGCGTCGCGACGCGTCGCCGTTGTTTCAGATATAAACTGGGCCATTACGCAAGCCGAGCCGTCGGGATCGGTGGAAAGTAAAAATGTAAGCGACTTTCTCTATGAAATAGCGCGTCCATTTACCAGCTGCAACTTATGCAAGAGCCGATCTCGGCACGCAAGATCGCCGGAGGCGACAACTGGCCGCGGCTACTACCATCGAAATCGCACGCTTTGCGTTACGCTTTGTGGACGACTGCCCTACATTTAATTTATCACAAAGGATCTTTCGTGTTTAACGACCAAGACTTAGCTGCGAAAGTACACTAATTTCCTCTATCTTTCCTTATTTTTTATATCGACATATACCTCACTAAGTATATAGAAACTACAATTTCGAAAAAGATAAATGAATATATGTATAGATTAGGGTTTTTATGCGTGGATTTTGAAAGTTGTCCAATTTCAGTAATATATAGAAAGTTTATTCTATAATTAAATTTACATTTTTTGTAAATTGTAGAAGATTGCCAAATCAATTTATATAGTGACAAACATCATAGAAAAAGAAGATGAGAAAGGATTGACTCGCAATATATTTCATACGTTGCCGAGAACGAACTACACTTTCACTTTGTGATTTAATCAATTTTAAGTTCGTAAAACACGGAATTAGTGGGCATTGTCCAGCTAGGAGATTATTCATTTTGCACTTATTGAATGGTGCTCAGCCTTTGGACAGTGCGTGATAGATGATCTAAATCAGTGATGCGCAACTTGCAGCCTATCTATGAATTTTTTTGCGATGCTAGCTTATAGCTGAAAATATAAAATCTCTACTTTTTATTTTTATGCAAACAAAATAAACATTATGCAGTGTCTGCAAAATTTTACCTGTTTCTGAGTAATCATCATGTGACTTTGCGGGAAACATAAAAAATTAAAAAAATTTCTCCTACAGTGACAACAAATTTCGCTTTTCATGTTTTAGAGAATAGGTTATATGATCGCCATCCTGGAAAAAAAATTCTCTAAAAATGAATCTCTTTAAAAAGGTTGGATCTGTTTCGCGATCATCATGACACAATCTAAATTACACTGTAACCGAAGAGTCGTAAGCAATATACATATAACATAATCGACCGATAATATAATTTATTAATTGATTAAAATATTAATGACAGCCTAAAAGCTGTGTTACTTAAGCTACCATTAAAATACAAAAGCCGGAATTGAATTATCTTAGATCATGCACCATCACGCAAGGATTTTTTTTATTCATTCCGCGGTACAATCCACTATAATTTTTTAAACCAATGATTTTTACGCTCGTAACACTCGGAATTGCCGCGTGAACCGTGGAAAATGATTCACCTTAGCTTATATGATCGACGTAACTGCAGCGTTTATTCTTGCTCGGCCATTTGTTACTTCCGTACAACTTACGAATTTTGTAATCAGTTAATAGTAGATGATTATAAGTATTATCGGAGATAATAATAATTTATGTATACAAAGAATAGCAATCTATAACAAGAAATTAATTTTATTAACAACAAAAATATAATTGTTGATGTATGAAGTCGGAAGTTGTTTAGTATTAACCCTTACCGTACTAATATGGATAACTAGTGACCGAGCGATTCCTGTCCATGCAAGTTTCTTTGAGTCTTTCGGTAATTATAAATTATACTACATTTAATTATTTTCCAAAATAAAGAGTCAATATTTATTCTAAAAAGTTGAAAGTAAATTTTTAGAGATTTTTTGAATTATTTTGAAGAGATGAAAAAACGAAGAGATTCTAGTGACCCTTGATAGTATGCATGAGGCGCCAAATTGTTCATAGTACGGTAAGGGTTAAATGTATATATGTATATACACTACGCAACAAAATTATCGCAACAAAATTTTTCATCGAAATTTTGCTATTTTTCAAATACGCATAACTCGGTCAATTTTCATCGTTAAAAATGCCCGAATAACTTCAAAATGGCATTACTCGGTCAAAAAAAATCGTAGAGACTCGAATTTTTTTTCAAATCGTTTGTTGAAAAGTGCACTTTACAATGGTATATGTGGTATTTTCGAAAAAAAATCGGGGCGATCCAGGTAGCGCGTCAACAATCAAATTTTTTAAGAAAAAAAATGCTTGGGCTTTATTAAAACATGGAGATGCGGCATCGACTTGCACCTAATTTCGCATCAAGTTTTTCTTAAAGTACAGATAATTACCTATAAAATGAAAAAAGAATCGTCTTGATACGATAGTATTTAAAAAAGAGAAAATAATATTAATTAATTCATTTAAGCTGACACATTATTAATATTCTTAACTTAATAGAAACTTTCTGTTTAAATTAATTTAAAACATTAAATTAAATAAGTTTAATTGTAATTATGAACATTTTAATCTTAATAGACGAAGATTACATTAAGTAACGAATGCAAATTATCCTCACTGTTTTAATATTATTAACTTAATAGAAACTTTCCGTTTGAATTAATCTAAAGATATTGAATTAAATAAGTATAATTGTATTTATGAATATTCTATCTTAATACACAGAGCACATGGAGATTATATTAAGCAATAAATGCAAATTATCTTTGCTTTTTTCTTTGAAACAAAATAATAAAAGGTGTTTGTAGAAGAAAAAGAGATTAAATGACATTTAGATATAAACCAAAGGATAAACGAAATTGCGTTGAAATCGAACGATGTCGGCAATATTACGTGCTACAAAGAGAATATAAAAAAAATAATATACATTATATATATATATATATAAATTAATGACGGCGGGAATGGATAAATGTAACTTTGCGAAAATTCTAGATAGCAGACATACCGGTTTTGCGTGTACTACAGTCGCAGGTTGAAAAATTATCACTTAAATTATATGTAATACTATATTATGTCTGCAAAGAAATATAGCATAATGTAAATTAGAACTTCACGCCGATCAACTGTGCTACGACAGAATCGTTTGGCAAAGAGCGCAAAGAGAAAGGAAATTGATCCTGAAACACTTTTGTGTGACAATTCTTTTTTTGCATCGTTTTCATGTTGATCATAACTGTTCTATTATGCTACGATTTGCGGATTATTAAATTCTGTTGCATTAACGTGCGAAGTGTTTTACTTCACAAGGAGCATCCATCGCGCCATCCGGTTTGAAAACGATTTACGCTTTGTACGCAGCACGGAATTCCTCGATTCGTTAAACTCTTTTGCACATCTTGATTTTGTGCAATTACACCAAGACGCGAGTAACACGAAGCAATTTTACATTAGCGAAACATGCGTAGCGCTTGTAGTTCTTTACCTCTTTCTCTTGAATTGGCTCTAAAGTTTTCTCTACAAATTTAACTCGTATTAACATTAAGTAATATAATTTAAGAAAAAATTTGGAAAATTACGATGTATAGAAAAAATAGATTATTTAAGAAATGTTTAAATACTATCTTTTATCCTAAAAATAAGTATTGAACATACAATGAGAGCAAAATGTATTTTCGTAGATATTTATTTTAATTTTACTTTTAGAAAATAAATATTAATTAACAATTTATTGACAGAGAATAAAATAGGTTGTATACTAATAAAATAGATTGTATATTTCTCAGAATTATTTTTCCTAAAAAAATGTAGTAATTAAAATATATTAAAATATATTTTGATAATAAACGAAAATGGAAAATGATATTACAATAGAACTCCGTTTATTCAAATATATCAAAAGACAAATAACTAAATTATTCAGATACTATAGAGGCTCAAACAACACTAGCTCTCTCCTCTACTAATACTTATTAGTTCTGATAATAGGAGCTAATGTTCAGATAATTTAAATCGAGTATATCATGCTCCTATCCGAACAACAGTGCTATAATTCAAGTAATAAAATTTTGAGAAATCAATTATATAAGCTTTTTTTCTAGTGCGGAAACGTGAAAAGGAAAAATGTTTATGTACGTATGTATGCTATATATTAGGATCGTTGTTATTTTAACAATTTTTGAAATTTAATCGGGGCACCCCCTAAAGTAGTTCAAGATCTCAAAAAAATAACACCATATTTTTCAGATTTTTTTTAACAATTTTAACCCGTGCCACCGGCCTCGCGGGTATACAGAAAAACATCTTTGTCAACAAAATTCGTCGCTCTAATTCTTATAAACCAATTAATTGGTTTATAATTAATAATAATTCTTATTAACCAATCTAATTCCAATTCTTATTAACTAATTTTAAATTCTGTTTTTAATTTGCTCGAAATTGAATATGCTATAAGTTTCTGTGTAAATTTTGATAGTTCAAATTAAAAATTGCTGATCCAATATTCGTTATCGTGTAATTTTGATTTTTCCTGCTCACATCATTGGATCGGCAATTTTTAATTTGAACTGTAATCAAAATTTACGAAAATAAACTTTTAGCTCATTCAATTTCGAGCAAATTAAAAAAAACTTTAAAATTAGTTAAAAATTAGAGCGTTGGCTGAATATTGGTTACAAAAAGTATTTTTCCGTTTACCTGTGTCCCGGTGGCACATATTAAAATTGTAAAAAAAAATCTGAAAAAATATGATATTATTTTCAGACTTCACAAAAGTTTTCGATACCGTCAATCATGACTTACTTTTAGTCAAACTCAAGTTATGCGGTCTTTCTCATCCTGCTCTCTCGCTAATCTGCTCGTTCCTTACAAACCGCACGCAGCAAGTCTTCATATATAATCCTTTTCCTCTTTTCTCCTCTACTCGTGCCGTTCTCTTTGGTGTTCCCCAGGGTTCCATTTTCGGACCCTTACTCTTTAATATTTTTGTCTCTGATTTGTCTAATGTTTCTCCGTCCTCCGAGTTCTTCATGTATGCAGATGACGTATATATATATATATAATTCTTTTCAAATCCTTTCACCCATTCGATGCTTTAGCAACCTGTTCTGCTTTGAATACAGACTTAAAATCTATTGCCGAATGGTCCACTAATAATGCCCTGCATCTAAATCATCCTTCTAAATCATCCTTCTAAATCATCCTTCTAAATCGTTCTTGCTGATTGTCGGTTCCTCAACATTGTTATCCCGTATTCAGCCCTTCGACATTTCTCTTAATTCTATTCTAATTCCTCGTTCCTCCTCTATTAAGATTCTTGGTATACATGTTGACTCTTCATGGTCATTCGAGTCACACGTGGCCGTCAAGTGTCGAGTTGCTTATGCTTTACGTCTTCTTTATCTCCTTCGCCACATCCTTTCCTGCTCTCAAAAACTCGTCACTTCTCAATTACTTGTTATTTCTCTATTTGATTATGCTGATGTCGTCTACATTCCGGCTCTTAACCAACATCTACTAAATCGTACAGCGTATCCAAAATTCTTGTCTCCGCTTCTCCTGTTGCGTCTTTAAATACGACTACATATCTCCGTATTACCAGAGATCTGGCTGGCTTAAGATTTGGCAACGTTTTATTCTCCACCTGTGCTGTCTTGTATTTTCTCTCCTTCGCTCCAATACTCTTTTATATCTGCGACGTCTCCTTCAGTTGAATTCTGAACATCATTCCTCTTTTAACCCTTTTGTCACCAGATACCCAGATTACTTATCTTTCCCCATATATCGGTCAACTAAGTTCCGTGCCGCTTTCTTCTACACCTCTGTCAAATATTTTAATTCCCTTCCTTCAATAAAAAAACTCTCCCTTTCTATCCTCTTTTCGTTCCGTTGCCTCGTGTTTCATCGCGTCACTTACAGTATTTAAACGAGACTGATGTAATTGGTGTGTTTGCGGGTGTATGCGCGCACGTGTGTGTGAGTGTATGTGTGTATGTATGATTTCAGCTATTGATTTACCTATTATTGCATTGTCTTATTCTGGTTTTCTTATTGATAGGCTTTGTAACAGCAATTTTGCTGACGCCTAACCATTTGCAAGCTACTATTGTCTATTGTATTTATGTTTATGTTAACTGTAGTCTATTGTATCATATTTTATGTCTGTTACTCTGATAACATATAGTCTTTTTCATATAGCTTTGCAATAAACTAAATTAAAATTAAATTTTTTTAAGATATTGAACCGCTTTATGGGATGCTCTGATTAAATTTCAAAAATTGTTGAAATAACAACCACTATAGTATATATGTATATTCGCACACATACAAAAAATTTTCACTTTTCACGTTTCTGCTCTAGAGAAAAAGTTACATAATTGACCCCTAGTTATAAGTTGTAACAATATATTATTGGAATTAAACACTTGAACTTGTAAATGAAACAGATAACGGAGTATAATCTATTGTATTTGGGCATACAAAATGTATTCATACAAATGAGAAATTTATAGTTTTTAAAGTCATAAAATAGTTATCTTTGCAAAGCTTTTTTGTTTATATTAGAATAAAACATCATTATATGTATATAATAAATAATAATAAATCATAATTAATTTACTTTCTAATATAAGGTTTATTAAAAAAATATCTATGTATATGTATATATATGTGTATATACATATATATATATATATGCATACCCTGATAGAAAATGTTAGCAATTTGATCACATTTTAACTACAAAACCATATCCATCTGTGTCCGCATTTGGCTATGAATTTGTCGACAAAGCCTGCTGACAGGCATTGCCAGCAGATTGGTGGCAGAAACCGAGCAGAGTCGGGTTCTGCTCTCAATCTGCTTTCAATCTGCCGGTTATGCAGAACTTTGTTCGGTTTCTGCTATCAATCTGCTGGCATAACATGTCTAGCAGACTTCATCATATTTCTGACAGCAATTTGCTGACAATGTCAGATAATACAAACTCTGTGTACAATTTGTTGCCTTTCTGCAATCAAGAACTGCAAGCTTTGCTCAAAATCTATCTTCGTAAGCTTTACTATCGGGGATATATATATATATATATAAAAGAATACTTTTTATATATTTACTATAATAGTCGGCAGAAGATTGTCAAGTCGGATTATATGCGAATACTTAAATATTTGACTAAAATTAATCAATTTGCTTTAATTTGCAGCGTCTGGCAGCCACAAGCGAGCGTTTCGTCAACTTCAAGGCGCGACTGATTACCTCCATCATCTAAGGTCTCATTTGAGCACTGGGATGAGGAAGCACAAGAGGAGCTCCGCCGGCGTTGGTACCGTCACGTAGAGGCACCATCGCCGAGCCACTTTTGCCAGTAGGAGCACGGGTACGACGTTGGCAACAGAACCAATCTCATGATGTTGCCCCCTTGTCCCTGAGATCCTGAACTTAATTTCTTCGTCGATGGCCGTCGAGCTTTTCGCGAAACACAACACACTTCGCCGCCAAACGCATTCCCCTAAAGTAATCGACTCGATTCCGTTCGACTTCATTTACTCCCCCTTGTCTAATTCCCTTTTATTTCCATTCCACTTTCTACCTTTCTCCTCTCCCCCCCCCCCCCCCCTCTCTTTTCTATTACTCTTCGTGCATTTTTATTATTTTCGCCCTTTAGTTAATTAAAATAACAATAATGAATAATGAAGAAATTTTCGTAATCAATCGTCATTTTAGGACGATCGAAATTTAATTATTACGGCGTAGCTCGTACCGCCATGGTACGATGGAAGCATATCGAGAGAGCCGGTGAAACTGTAAAATCATTTTAAATTTGTGATACGACACGCTCTCCATTGACAGTTTCAAATGAATAAATGATTCATGCACCACCAGCCACGAGTCGAAAATTTCTCTGCGCGCTCTCTTGAGTAGCAACAGAAAGTCATCCCTTAGCTAAAAATGTTTCAATTCTTACAAAGTAAGAATAAATAACCTATTTTTTTATTTAAAAGGTATATGATACGGAAGGCTTATGGTTTTCTAACAGGGATAAGATGCGTACTATTAAAAGAATCGAAGAATAAAGTCAAATATTTTTTCTTCGATTGTTCACGCGCAAACAGTATGTTCTGATCATAGACCCTATAAGTATGAACTGGCAATACAAGCAAAATCGTGTTTCTCTTTCTAAAGTGTAAGGAAGTTCAGAAGTACGTTTGGCGCATACTTGATATACTATACATTATTTTTCATTGAGATTATCTCTTTCTATACGATTCTTCGTAAACAGAAGACAGAATCTAAAGTTCTGTCTTACGTATTTTTTAATTACTTACTCTCTAAATCTGAATCAGTGGATAGTCACTAATTTCATTATCAGTGCCCAGTGGCATACTCGGTACTGATAATGAAAATATTATCTCGACAGTGAAGTACAACTAAAAATGGAAGAATGTTTGAGCATTATATAATTAAAATATTGACATTTTCACGTTAATTTCTATCTTCCAATACCGTATTCATTGAATTTAAGCACTAAAACAAGCCTAGATTAGTTAGATCACATAATAAAGATTAGTTAGGTTAGGGATGTCATATTTAATTCACTGATTACCAGTTAAATATGACATCCCTAATCTTTATTATGTGATCTAAATAATCTAGGCTTGTTTTAGCATACTTGCCACTGATAACAGTGATTATCCACTGATTCAGATTTAGAGAGTACATTTTACATTTTCAAAAAGAATCTTATTTCGTGTTTGCTTTGCTACAATATATTATTTTTAATTCTAATATAGTGCCAACGCGCCATATGTTTAACATGCACAATGTATATTTCCGGACACTTTGAAAAAGAGAAACATTTGAAAAGTTATATATATATATATATATATATATATATGTCGTAGGCCGATAAATAAATCAGGCTGTTAGCTAAAAGCTTGGGCCGTTCGTTAAATGCCGGCCGATAGACAAATCTGCGTATCGAACGTCATCCTTTGTCTAACGGCCGGGTGAAATCAGGAAGTTGAGCTAAAAGCTGGCAATTAGCCTAAATGCCGAACGTTCTTCAAGCCATTACAATAAGAGATATGAGAATGAAAATAAAGCCTCTTACCGAGTCCTGTTAATTACTCTATGTCGAGAAGTTTTTTTGCCACTAAAATGTAAAATGAACACCGTATAAAAAATACGAAAAAATTTACGAGAAAATTTTAGTTTACCTGTACTTCGTAGCACCCACGACTCCAATTTGTGGAATTGTTGTCAATCATCCAAGCACGCAATATATTTTCAACATCAGCGTTTGACTTCTCGACACTTCCTTGACTTTGAGGATGTCGCGGACGTCCGTGAACAATTTTGCAATGTGGCCATAGACACAAAAGTTCGTGTATGACAGCCGCAACGAACGCTCGTCCATTATCACCCTGCAGAATTTGCGGCGCACCCCAGGTGAAAAAAATTTTTTATAATTCGTCTACTACCTTACAAGCATGTTTAGATTTCAACGGTCGCAGATGTAATGACATGCCGTTTTTGAAATTCACCGCTTATCACGAGCATAATACATCATTTTGTCCCTTCCTCCGTGCCCGGTTTGAATGTGTGCTTCTAGAAGTTTGTCATAATAATCTTCAAGAGCTACCATAAAAATTAACGGTTCACTTACGTCCTTCCTTCTCAAAATTACACGTGTTTCATTCCCGATTCTTACAAGTTAATATGTTTTATCATAATGATAATGAGATACTGATTTTTTTATATTTCCATCTTCTAGTTCTGACAACAAATTAATGACACTTTGCAATTGATTGTTATCCCACACAGCTCTGTTACTGTCTAACCGTTGCGTTTCTTTTAATTTGCGTTCAAATTCTTGGCGATTTACTGCATTATTATCACCCATGTTTACAGTATGAAGACAGTACAGCGATTGATTTGCCCAAACGAAATGATACATTGTTTCTATTTGAATCGTTTATCATAATATTTTCATTCTCATACCTCTTATTGTAATAGCCTGAAGAACGTTTAGCATTTAGGCTAATTACCGGCTTTTAGCTCTTCCTGATTTCACCCGGCCGTTAGACAAACGATGACGTTCCATACGCAGATTTGTCTATCAGCCGGCATTTAGCGAACGGCCCAGGCTTTTAGCTAACGGCCTGATTTATCTATCGGTCTACAACATATATATCTCTACTCCTCCGGACAATATTTCTTATTATTAGCAGAAACTATAGACAATTACCAGTTCATACTTGTAAAGCCTGTGGTGTTAATTAATCATCGGCAAACACGAGACAAACAAGATGCTTAAATGTACATAGCTCATCTCTGAATACGATAGTGCCAGGCATCGTCTCTATCTATTTCTCTCTCTCTCTCTCTCTCTCTCTCTCTCTCCCTCCTCTCCCTCTCTCTCTCTCATTTTTTTCCCTAATACACACATTTTATTCGAGGGACGTTCTGGCAAACGTTCTTAGGACATAGGGATATTCGAATGTTCTTTCGAACGTCTCTTGGAGATCAGTGCTATTAGGGTTCTTATCCAATTATCTTTCATATATCTATATATATTTCTGCTTCCTGTGAAAATTGTGGTGACGTTTAATTTATGAAATTTAGTCAATTTAAGTATGCTAAATACTGTTAATTAAATGTAAAATGGAATTAAAATTTACCTTGATGTGTACTTCAATTGATACAGTTAGTAGAAGTCTGTCACCGTAGTGAACTATTGGAGAAAAAAATTTTCTCTTCTTGGATTTTTTCGAATTAGGAAAATCCAATAAGCGATACGATTTCACAAACATAATGTCGTCAGCATGTTAAACGCGGCGTTTCACGTCCTCATACCGAGCGTATTTCTTTATGTAAAGCGTCCCTGTTGTTTTTGTAGTGCAAATAAATATTATAATATAAGAAGCGAGTCCTGTGTCTTTTATTTTATCTTATTTATTAAATATAAATAAGAATATTCAACAAAATTAGGTCAAAACGCGGTTGATATTAAAAACAAAATTCAAATAAGAGGCAATAAACCACTACGCCGGTTGTTAGAAGCGAAAATAATATATTATAAAAAGAATACAAAAAAGACATTTCGGTCTTAAATTAGACCATCTTCAATTCAAGTAAGGCGAGATACGCACGCAAATTAAATTAAATAATAAAAATTATAAAGCCGCTATTAAATACAATTCATTCTAATGTATTTCGAACCAACACTAATTTAGATCGTGTTGTTAACAGTTTCATCTATGTACAAAATTAATTCTTTGGTAACTTCTTTGGTAATATTCCACGTCTATATCAGAAGAATATTCAAGCCTATAACGGCTTCAAAGCTAGATCTTTAATGCTTAAATAATTCAATTTAAATTATATACAATACTATATATTATGTACATGCATATATACCATATTTGTAGCTATTCATTAATTGTACCATTAAATATACCTATATGGGATGCCCCAAAATTGATGATAAACGTTTTAAAAACAGATTCTTTGTAACATTTTAAGCAGGGTTGGCAACGTTACCTCATAAAAATAACTCGTTATTGTTACCGTTCTTTTTCCTAAAAAAATAATTTGTTTCCGTTACTCGTTATTGATTTGCAAAAGTAACTCATTACCGTTATCGTTACTCAAAATATAACGAGTCGTTACTTTTTTGTTACTTTTTTTTCTTGACAATAATAGAATATTATATGCTGATTTTTGCAGTAAATGTAGATATCAAACTTTTATTTTTTAGTATAGGAATAGAGCTCAAAAAATATATGTCTATAGTAAACATTATGCATTATTTTCATGAATGAAATATATGCTGTCATATCACATAATATATATTGCATTTTTTGTAATTTTTGTACTTAAATAAATTTATTTTTTGTACCACTTTTAATAAGGTATCTTTAAATTATACGTTTAACTCTTAGTACGTATACAATTTTCTTTTACTCTCTGTGCATGATGGATTGTTTGTGTGCGGATTAAAATTTCCATAATTTTTACAAAAAATATAAATAGATTTTTAAATATTTTTCAGCATCTTTATAAAACATTTATGAAGTTGTATATTTAAAGAAGAAAAGATAAAAAAAATTATTTAGCGAGGTGCAGTATTTTAAAAAAAAGAAGCGAGATACAAATGACTCATCGTGAATACTCTAAAGATAAAATTATATTGTAATAAAAAAATAGTATTATTTGTAATCTGTAATATATACATATATTTAATTTATGAAATATGACACAGAAAAAAATGTTATTTTAAGAAATGTAATATATTGTAAAGATTGTATCTAGAATCTCACGTGATCTTATCATCACATGCTGTACATAGAGAATTAGTCTATACGTGTGAACTGTGAATTCAATGAAAAAAAGGCGTTGTGATCGCGTGATTCAGACAACCAATCAGACCGTTAATGTTTTATTTCCATTTTTTAGGGCTATAATTACGACTAAACTTTTACATAGTTAGAAATAAAGTAGCGGTAAAAGTAACTAGTGAAATCGTTACCGTTACCCCAAAAATGTAATTGTGTTACCATGAAATGTAACGTCGATACCCATTCATTACTAAAAAAAGTAACTTGTAACAGTAACGACGTTACAAATAACGCATTGTCAACCCTGATTTTAAGACGAAAAGTCTAATACAAAAATGTCAAAGCTACGAAAGTTTTCAATTGGGAAAAGTTTAAAAATTAGAGTTAGATTTTCGTGGGCTCAGGACAAAATGATCAATATAAGGGTGCCATCCCAGTAGAACGATTTTTATTCATTGATAAAAAAATAACAAAGAACAAAGCTTGATATGAATTAAAACAATTAAATTAAAGGACTCTTTTAAATAACAAAAATATCAAGAATATAGAAGGGCAAATTAAAGTCAAGTTTGAATATAGATATGTGTAATAAACGTTTAAAGTTTTAATATTCTGATAAATTGATATAAAATATAAATTTAATTTAGAAAACTTAACATTACATTGTATTACATTAGATACATGTTTCGTCATCATAATTGTGCCATCATCAGATGTTATAAATTTGCAGAACAAAAACGCAGTGAAAAACAGGTGTATTTTAAATAGTCACTATTAAGTCATTAAACGATGTAAAAAAGACGCATTGAAAAATATTCTTATAAATATATGTAGTCCGTATCTTATGTGACTCCGATGTAACAACCATAGATGGAGGGTGAAAACGAAATTGCTCTCAATCGGTTGAACGACCGGTTGGTAGAGAATTTTCATGATTATCTAAAG